AAAGGGAAGGAAAAAAGAAAAAGGATGGGTGGAAGGAAAAGGGAAGGGAAAGGAAAGAGGGAAGGAAGGGAGATAAAGAGTGAAAGGAAAAGGAGAAAAGGAAGAAAAAGAAAGGAGAGTGGCAGGGAAAGAGAAGGAAAAGATCCTCACAAAGCATTATGTTAAAAAAAAGGATTCCTCCTGCTAAAATTCACTGTAGAGGAAGAAGGGAAAGAGGAAGAAATAGGAAATGAAAAGCAGAGTGGGGGGGAAGGATGGAAGAAAGTAAGGAAGTGGAGTGGAGGGAGGGAGGAAAGGCAGGAGGAGAGAAATGGAAGAAAGGAAAGGAAAAAAGGAAGGCAAGAGTAAGAGGAAAGGCAAGGCAGGGGAAGGGAGGGAAGGAAAGAGGGGGAGAAAAGGAAGAAAAAAGGAAAAGGAAAGGAGAAAGAGAAAGAAAGAGGAAAGAAAGGCAGAAGGGGAAGGGAAGGAAGAAGGGGAAAGGAAGAAAAGATGGGAAAAGGGTGAAAGGAAACGAGGGGAAAAAAAGAAGGGAGGGAGAGAGGGAAAGGAAAAGGCAATAAGGAAAGGAAGCAAAGGAGGAAAAAAGGAAAGGAAAGGAAAGAAGGGAAGGGAAAAACTCCTCACCATGAATTACCCTTATCTTAAAAACAAAACAAAACAAAACAAAAACAGGCATCCTTGAGAATGTTTTACAATTTAAAGCCCCGGAATGAAAGATATTGTGTGTGTGTGTGTGTGTGTGTGTGTGCTATAAATACAATTTGACAATTCACCAGACTTCTTGACAGCTGCAAGAATCCGATTCTGCCTTTCGTTAAATTTAGGGTGGCATTTTCACGCCTGCAGCCGGGTATGAAAGATTCGGCAGCGAGCTGAGAACTAGTGTTGTTCAGGTGTTCAAAGCCTTCGCGCATAGAGAAACGTCTGAGGCAGGCAGTCCTCGACTTATCACCCACAACTGGGACCCCGAAATATCTGTTGCTGAGCAGGAACGTGTTTGTTAAGTGACTCTTGCCCCCATTTTGTGACCTGTCTCGCCGTGGTTACTAAGTGAATCATTGCCGTTAAATCAAAGGGGATCATGTAACCTCGGGATGCTGCAACTGTCATAAATATGAGTCAGTTGACAAGACATCTGAATTTGGATCATGTGACCGCAAGGATGTCGCAACGGTCGTAAGGGTGTAGGTCACTTGGTTTCCGGGCCGTTGTAAGTTCAAACAGGCAGTAAATGAACTGTCGTAAGTCTACAATATCCAATTGTCCGATTTGTCAATTTCAAGATCTATGGACTTCAACCCCCAGAATTTGTCCATATCTAATTTGTCAATTTCCAATCTGTCAATTTCCAATCTGTCAATTTCCAATCTGTCAATTTCAAGACCTATGGACTTCATAGGTCTTCCTATGATATCTGATTTGTCAATTTCAAGACCCATGGACTTCAACCCCCAGAATTTGTCCATATCCAATTTGTCAATTTCCAATCTGTCAATTTCCAATTTGTGAATTTCCAATTTATCAGTTTCAAAACTTATGGAATTCTGGGAGTTGAAGTCCACAAGGCTTAAAGTTGCCAAGGATAGTCTCCCCTCGTCTACTATATCTTGGAGAGCGAAGGAACGAAAAAAAACCATTTTAGGAGTGTGCGTAAAGTTGTGAAGTTTGCTTTCACAGCTAACCCTGAACTTTTAGGCACGCACACACACACACACACACACACACACACACACACAATCGAGGTTTAATTCTTTCCCATAAAGTAGGGATGACAGTCAACCTTTCTTAGGAGGGCTGTTAGGAAGACAAACGCCACCAAACCTGGATTGTCACAAACCGCAGCGCAGAATCGAGCTGCCCCAGAGTCACTTCGGGCGTGAGACGGGTGGCGTGCGAATGGAAAAATCCATAAAATGAAATCTCCTGGGTTTTGCCAAGCGTGAGATGACCAACCCAAGAAGGAAAGCGAACACCTTGGTCTCACCTCTGAGAAGTAAAAAAGGGCCGATTCACAGAAGAGGATATCGGCCAGGTAGACCGTCCCGCTGGTCAGCACCTCAATCTGGTATTTGCAGAAGTGATGGCTTCGCAGGAATTCGCTAAAGTGCCTGCAAGAGAAGAAAATTAGGTCATTCCCCACTCCCTTCTAACACTGATAATGTTACCTAGCTGGGTCATAAAATGTCTGCAAGGAAACAACCACCCTCAGAGAGCACCAAGGCCTTCACAATCCTCCTCCTCCTCCATTACACAACCCCACCCCCCTCTAGAACTGATGATGTTCCCTAGTTGGGTCATGAAATGTACGCAAGCTCAGAGAGTAGCAAGGACCTCACAGTTCTCCTCTTCCCCCTGTTCCTCCTTTCCTCGAACCCACCCCTTTTCAGATTTAATGATGTTCCTATGACATGTTTCCTGGGCTCCAAGATCACCGCAGATGGGGACTGCAGCCAAGAAATTAAAAGATGCTTGCTCCTTAGGGAGGAAATCTATGGCAAATCTAGACAGCATACTAAAAAGCAGAGACATCAACCTGCCAACAAAAGTGCGTAGAGTCAAGGCTATGGTTTTCCCAGTTGCAATGTATGGCTGTGAACGTTGCACCAAAGAATGGAGGCCTTTGAACTCTGGGGCTGGAGGAGGAGACTCCCTTGGACTGCAAGGCGATCCAACCGGTCAGTCCCAGAGGAGATCAACCCTGGCTGCTCTTTAGAAGGCCAGATCCTGAAGAGGAAACTCAAAAGACTTTGGCCACCTCAAAAGAAGGAAGGACTCTGAACGCTGGGAACGATGGAGGGCAAAAGGAGAAGAAGGGGAGGGCAGAGAGGGAGGGGCTTTATAGAGTCACTGAAGCAGTCGGCGTGAGCTGAAACAACTCCGGAGGATGGTAGAGGACAGGAAGGCCTGGAGGAACGTTGTCCACGGGGTCGCGATGGGTTGGACATGCCTTCGCAATTAACAACGACAAAGCTTGAGTCATGAAAACACCCGCAAGACAGCCACCGAGCTCAGAGAGCACCAAGGAGCCCTCAAGTCAAGTCTAGGACCGGGAGCGCACAAGGTTTAACCTGGCTGAAGTAACAGCGCCGACTTACTCTTGCTCCATGGCGTTAAACACCACGGACTGTGCCGTGACGAAGCAGTTGGGGTCCACCTGTCCGTCCTCCCCGCAGATCTTGGCTGAAAGTAGAAACCGCAAGAAATTCCCGTGAGCGTTGACGGCAAAGGAAAAGACAGAAGGGAGATACAGTGCAGGGGTTTGAAACCAGGGAGGCCAGGGGGTGTCTCCTTCCAGCCAAAGGACCGGTTGGGACAGGTTTTAGTCGGTTCGGACCGGTTCTGACACACCGGTAGTGGAAATTTTGACTAGTTCGGAGAACCGGCCAATTCCACCTCTGATTGGCCCTGCCCCCCTGCCCCCCTGCCCTCACCTCTCTTATAGTCCCTTTGTTGCTTGTATCCTTACAATTTATACTGACTGTTTCCTAGTATGATTTGATTGCTTATTGTAACCTAGGACTATTATTACGTGTTGTACCTGATGATTCTTGACTCTTGATGGATGTATCTTTTCTTTTTACATACACTGAGGGCATTTGCACCAAGTCAAATTCCTTGGGTGTCCAATCACACTTGGCCAATAAAGAATTCTATTGTATTGTATTGTATTCTACTCTACTCTATTTTTATTCTATTCTATTCTTTATTCTACTCTCTATCCCGTTCCATCCCATTCAATTTAAATTCTATTCCTATATCCATTTTATTCTATTGTACCCTATGACTATCATTAATTGTTGGACTTGATGATTCTTGACTCTTGACAGAAGTATCTTTTCCTTTATGTACATGAGAGCTCATGGACCAAGACAAATTCCCTGTGTGTCCAATCACATTTGGCCAATAAAAGAATTCTATTCTATTCTGTTCTGTTCTGTTCTGTTCTATTTTCTATTCTATTCTATTCTATTCTATTCTATTCTATTCTATTCTATTCTATTCTAATTCTATTCTATTCAATTCTAATTTGTATTCTATTCTATTCTAATTTGTATTCTATTCTATTCTATTTTCTATTCTGTTCCAATTCTATTCTATTCCATTCTATTCTAATTTGTATTCTATTCTAATTTGTATTCTATTCTATTTTCTATTCTATTCTAATTCTATTCGATTCTATTCTATTTTCTATTCTGTTCTAATTTGTATTCTATTCTAATTCTATTCCAATTCTATTCTATTCCAATTCTATTCTATCCTATCCTATCCTATTCTATTTAGTTCAGCTGATTTGCGTGGCAGAGCGGAATTGCCGCGCCTCAGCTGAGCTAAAATGCAACTCAGCTTACCAACATTTGAAAGAGGTTGGTCTTTGAGCCCTTAACGCCCGTGCAAAGAACCGTGCATAGAACCAGGGGTAGGAATCAAATTTTTTAACAACTGGTCCTGTGGGCGTGACTAGGTGGGCGTGGCCATGTGACTGGGTGGGCGTGGCTTTTTTTTGCAGCAACCCCCCACCCCCATTTTTTGGGCCTCCTGGGCCTCGGGGAAGCGCGAGGGAACCGGGGGTGGGGCATTTTTGCTCCCAGGAAGCTTCCTTGGGGCCCAGGAAGGCAAAAATGGGAGCGCCAGTGTGTGTGTGTGTGCCTTTCTGGGCCTCAGGGAAGCCCCCTGGGCGAAGCAGTAAGACAGGTAGGGGGATCCCAGCACAGCTGATCATAGGAAGAGCTGATTGCCCGGAGGGGAGAAAAAAGGAAATACCTTAAGGAGTGACTGGGCAGAGAAGAACACAGTCAGTGATGTTGGGCATGTGCGCGATGGTGCACATGTACGATAACGACTGACTGAGAGGCACGGGGCCAGCCAGGGGCAGATTTGCCGGTTCTCCGAACTGCACAGAATCCTAACAACCAGTTCTACAGAACCGGTCCAAACCGGCAGAATACCCACCCCACCCCTGCCTAGAACCGGTAGCAAACAAGTTGGAAACCCACCACGGCTTCCAGACCCATTCTCCCCCAAAGTTTGTTAATCCCGCCGAGGCGGTTTGGGCGCGCGACTGTCTTACCCACAATGTCATTTCTCATCAGCTCCGTAACGGGTATTGGTTTAGCAGCATCGGGAGAGATATATTTGGTAAAAATGGTCACTGCATCCTGTTCAATACCTGGGGAAAGAGAGAGAGAGAGAGAGAGAAAGAGTTCGTCTGAGGTCGCAGTGAGTTTGGAGAGTGTAAAAAAACAAAAACAAAAAGATTCACCCCTTTTGCACAAACTTCCGCAGTGAGTAATTGGAGGTTAATTTTTGTTTTCGAGAAGAGAGGAAGAGTTACACAATCCCACCTAAGAGGAAAACTGAAGAGGGATCTTTGTCGGTGGAAAGGAAATCTCCTTTGCCCCAGAAATAAGTCACTAATTGCGTTTGAAACCCAGAGCCTTCAAGAAACAGATGTACTTCCCCTCTTGAATGATTTACAGGGAGACTTGTGGCGGTAAATTGAGCCCGCAGTTGCGCCCAAAATTGTACCCCCTAACTGAATCCACAAAGCCGCGACGGACGGTAGTAAAATAAGTTATCACATGGCCCCATCTGTTCCCCACTTGCTTACTCTCTCTCTTGCCATATCTAACAAAATGAAATTCAATGGAGAGAAAAGGAAAGTCCTACACTTAGGCAAGAAAAACCCAAAGGAAACATATAGACTGGGTGGAACCAGGCTCAATAGCAGGAACTGGGAGGGGGATCTTGGAGTCTTAGTGGACAACCAGCTGAATATGAGCCAGCCATGTGCAGCAGCAGCCAAAAAAGTGAATGCAATCCTAAGTTGCATTAACAGAGGGATACAATCGAGATCAAGGGAGGTACTAATACCACTCTGTAAAGCCTTAGTAAGACCACACCGAGAGTCCTGCATCCAGTTTTGGCCACCACATTATAAAAAAGATGTTGAGACTCTAGAAAAAGTGCAGAGAAGAGCAACCAGAATGATTAGGGGACTGGAGGTTAAAATATACAATGAACGGTTGCAGGAACTGGGCTTGGCTAGTCTAGGGAAGAGAAGGACCAGGGGAGACAGGATAATGATCTTCTAATATTTGAGGGGCTGCTCCAGAGAGGAGGAAGGGGGTCAAGCTATTTTCCAAGGCACCTGTAGGCCAGACAAGGAACAATGGATGGAAACTGAACAAGGAGATAGATTCAACCTGGAAATAAGAAACTTTCTGACAGGGAGAGCAATCAACCGATGGAACAGAAGTTGCCTTTGGAAGTTGTGGGAGTGTCATCACTTGAGACTTTCAAGAAGAGATTGGACTGCCATTTGTCAGAAATGGTGTAGGGTCTCCCACTTGGGTGTGGGGTTGGACTAGATGGCCTATAAGGTCCCTTCCAACTCTTGATTATCTGTTATCTTGTAATCCCTTCTTCTCCAATTTCCACACTCCCTGATGGGAAGAAACACCAACAGGTCAGACACGGGACAATATATACAGGTGGCCCTCAACTTACAACAGTTCATTTAGTGACTGCTGAAAGTTACAATGGCAGGAAAATTGAGACATTTGGCAAATGACTCATATTTAGGACGGCGGCAGTGTCCTGGGATAGTGCGATCTCCTTTTGCGAACTTCAGACAAGCAAAGTCAGAATTCACTTCACAAAACTGTTTTACTGAATGAACAACTGCAGTGATTAACAACGGTGGCAAGAAAGGTCATCAACGGAGGCCAAACTCACTTAACTCAGCAACAGAAATTTTGGGCTCAGTGGTGATCGTAAATCGAGGACCTCCTTTCTATGTTTTCAAAACAGGAACTATCCATGCTATAAATCAGGCTTGTCCAACCCGCAGCCCACGGGCCGCATGCAGCCCAGGTCGCCTCGTAATGCGTCCCAGTGCCCACCCCAACCATCGTGCCACAGCCAGCAAGAAGGAGGAGGAGAGGCAGGCGCGAGGCGGGGCGAGGCAAGCGCCAGGCCAAGCAGCAAGAGAAAAGGCGGGCGCCTTCAGAGCGCCACCTCCTGCTGTTGCTGCTGCCCCCGCCGCCGCCGCTTCTGCCCCGCCGCCACCCCTGCTGCTTCTACCCCCGCCGCCACTGCCCTGCCACTGCTGCTGCTTCTGCCCCCACCGCTGCTGCTGCCGCCGCCGCTTCTTCTCCCGCCGCCACCCCCGCCGCTACCGCTTCTTCTCCCGCCGCCACTCCCACCGCTTCTGCCCCTGCCGCTTCTGCCCCCGCCACAGCTGCTGCTTCTGCCCCCGCCGCCGCTGCCCCCGCGGCAGGGGCAGAAGCGGCGGCGGTGGTGGGGGAAGAAGCGGCGGGGGCAGAAGCAGCAGCGGTGGCGGGGGAAGAAGCGGCGGCAGCAGAAGCGGCGGCGGTGGGGGCAGAAGCGGTGGCGGTGGCAGAAGCAGCGGCGGCGGCAGGGGCAGAAGCGGTGGGGGGGGCAGAAGCGGTGGCGGTGACAGCGGTGGCGGTGGCAGCGGCGGCGGGGGCAGAAGCAGCAGCAGTGGCGGGGCAGAAGCGGCGGGGGCAGCGGCGGCGGGGGCAGAAGCAGCGGCGGTGGCGGGGGAAGAAGCGGTGGCGGCGGCGGGGGCAGAAGCAGCGGCGGGGGAAGGCTTCTGCCCCCGCCGCTGCTGCTGCTGCTTCTGCCTTCCAGTCCTGCCTCATCCAGCCGGGCTATTTGCAGGAGGAGAGGTAGGCGTGAGGCAGGCGAGCTTTCTCCCCCCCTCCCCCCGCTGCAAAATTTGGCCGGAAAATAAACTGTGATAAAAAAACTGTGATAAAAAAAACGTTATAAAAAATAATTTTTAATAAATAATAAATAATAAAAACATCTAACTTTATTTCCAAATAAATTTAATATGTTAACTATGTTTTCTATGGTTTTTTGGGATGATCGGGTATGGTTACTGTTATTTTATTTTATGTGCGGCCCAAACCAAATTTTCATCTTCTAATGTGGCCCAGGGAAGGTGAAAGGTTGGACACCCCTGCTATAAATCTTCCTTTACTTATAAACTTTTTCAGCTGAGCTTTGCAATGCAAGGTATCCATCATTCCGGAAGAGACGCCCTGTGACGTTTAACAAATTAACAACGAATTGTGAATGATGAACAGGGTGAACCAGAGGAAGGGATTGACGAAACTGAGATTTAGGATTACATGCACAGCACAAATTTCTCTTGGGAGCCCAAATTTCTTCCTTTTCCAGTTTGCAATCCTGGATTTCGAAGCTTTGGCTGCAAACAAACCAGGGATTTTGGCTTCAGTTTTGTTTCCACAAGCCGTGGACTGCCTGTAGGTCCTTAAATGAAGATGACCCTGGAAGCTACAGGTTGTCCTCCACTTACGACCACAATGGAGACCAGAATGTAAGTTGCTAAGTGAGAAATCAGTGAAGTGAATTTTGCCCCATCTTACGACTTTGCTTTGCCGCGGTTGTTACGCGAATCCCTGTGGTTGTTCAATTAGTAACGGAGTTGTTGTTAAGTGAATCTGGCTTTTCCCATTGACTCTGCTCGCCAAAAAGTCATCAAAGGGGAATCAAATGAACCCGTACAGTGCAAATGTCATAAATGCGCGTCAACTGTCAAGGATCCGAAGGGAAATCACGTGACAGTGAGGATGCGGCAATGGTCATAAGTGAGAAAACGGTCCTAAGTCCCTTTTTTCAGTGCTGTTGTAACGTTTTGTTCCCATCAGGGAGTGTGGAAATGTAGAGAGGAAGGGATTACAAGAGAGTAAGCAAGTGGGGAACAGACCGGGCCATCTGATAACATATTTCAGCACCATCATGGCTTTGTATGGTCACTAAGTGAACTGTTGTAAGTCGAGGACTACCTGTATGCATTGTCCTGTTTCTGACCTATTGGTTTTTCTTCCCATCAGGGAGGGTGGAAATTGGAGAGGAAGGGATTACAAGAGAGTAAGCAAGTGAGGAACAGACCGGGCCATCTGATAACTTATTTCACCACGGCTTTGTACGATCCCTAAGTGAGTTGTCGTAAGTCGAGGACCACCCGTACTTGGAGAGACCGTGGACTGGCCTTACCTTTCATGAGTTTTCCTGACAAGTCCTTTAGTGCAAAGGAGGAAGGACTATTTCTATTGGACGCGGAGACCATGGAAGCATCTGGAAGGTCACCCGGAACAGGACAGTCCTCGTCTTCCGACGGGGTCAACCCCAAGCGGGATTGGTCACTGCCTTGGCTAAGCAGCAAGTGATTCCGAAGAGTCCAAGTGGACCGGTCCCAATGGGCCAAAGAGGGTTCGGCGGGGTACCGGTCGTCCAGTCCTCCGTTGAGCGACTCGCCAAAGGGGGAGAATTCGGGGGGGTCTTGTGGCTGCTGTTGCTGCAGGCCGGGGGACACCGGCTCGGCCAGGGAGCTGTGCTTCACCGTGTTTAAGCTGTGTGCTCTGATGTGGGACCAGGCGGTGGAGCGGAAAGCCTCGGCTTCCAGCCAGAATCGGACCAAGTGTTCCATGCGGTGGAGCTCCATGTACTGGGTGAAGTACGGGAGGGCCACGGGGTCGCGCAGGACTTGCGCCAGCGTCTTGGAAAGGCTTGACTTGGTTTCTTGAGCTTGGTAATCCAGGCAGGAGCGGCCTAGAGAAAGCAGAGAGGGTGAGTGAGGGAGGGAGGAAAGGAGGAAGGGGATGCTTGGGGAGAGACTGTACTGACCCAGTTCCCCAAATACGACAAAACCTCCAACGTTAACTGAAAAGATTCCTTTATTAGGAGCGCCGGCAGCCCCGATAAAAGGTTTCTCTCACCTCAGGCTAACCAATCCGTCCTGTAGGGAAGATGAATCATTGTCTGTCACATCTATTCATTTCCTCCCCCTGCCTTTTATCCCCAGAGCTTGAGTAGGGGCTTCGCTAGCAGCGGTGGCTCTTCCGTCCCAAGGTCCAGCCCATAGATTTCCACTGCTCTCCTCTCCTCTGCTTTCTGTGTATCAGGCACTGAACCTAGTTGTTCCTCTTCTTCCTCATCAGCCACCTCCAGACCTGGGGCTGTTGACTCTTTATTGGAGAGCTGATGAACGGCCCAGGCTCTCCCTCCCTCTCTCTCTCTCCCCCTCCCTCTCTCTCTCTCCCCGCTCCATTCTCTCTTCCCCCTTGGAGCTCTCAGGTTGCCTAGATGCTGCCCGATTCTTAGGCCTCCTCCTCCCGATTTGGCTCCTGGAGGGGCAGACGGCCGACAAGCCATAACAGCTACACCCCAGGACCTTCGCCTCCCCCTCCAATTCATCTGGGCCCCAAACTATAACTCAAATATTCTTTTATTAGGAACGCCAGCCAAAAGGGGGACAGGCTAACAAGTCCGTCCGGTAGGTAGACGAATAGTTGTCTGCCACACCTATTCACCTCTGACCCCCTGCCTTTTATCACCGGAGCTTGGGTGGGGGCTTCGCTAGCAGCGGTGGCTCTTCCGTCCCAAGGACCGGCCCATAGATTTCCACTGCTCTCCTCTCCTCTGCCTTTTGCGCATCAGGCACTGGACCCAGCTGTTCCTCCTCTTCCTGATCAGCTATTAATATTTATATGTTCAGGTTTTAAGTCGGGGGGGTGTCAAACTCAAGGCTCCGGGACCTGGATTCAGCCCACGGGGTGCTTACTTCAGACCTGTGGGGCTGCCCTGGAAAAAGTGAAGGACTGGCCTGCGGTGCTTCCGCCGGTGAAAACAGAGCCCGAGGGCCACGCATGCCTCCCCTCAGCTCTGTTTTTGCTGACAAGAGGGTTGCAGGAGGCCATCGCAGCTGGAAATGGAGCTCGGGGGTCCGTTTTGGCTGGCAGAGCCGCTCAGGCCACCAAAGGTGTCCCTGACATGCGTGATGAGCTGGCCCCCTCAAGGTCAAACATAATCCTCAATGAAATATAGTGTTTGATGTCCCTGTTTTAAGTCCATTACTTATATACTGTATGTACCGTTTCCCCGAAAATACGATCTACCCTGAAAGTAAGTCCTAGCTTGATTTTTATATGTACACCCAATATAAGCCCTACCCCCCAAAATAAGCCCTAATTAAAATCCTGCCCACTCCAGAGTGGACGGGTAAAAATTAAACTAGGGTAGGGATGAGGGTGGAGGAGCTGCCCTACTACTTACCTTTGGACAGTTGTAGCCAGGCCTCGCACCTCCTGACACCTGCCTTGCCGGCCCATTTCTTCTGCGGCTGGCCTGGCTTTCCTGAAGGCCTCTGGAGCTCATTAGAAAGCTCCGGATCGATCCTGAGCTCTGTTATAGGCTGCAGAGGCCTTCAAGAAAGCCTTGCTGGTCGCAGAAGAAGTTCCTGAAGGCCTCTGACAGCGAAAAGGAGGCCGGGTGCGACACACGCAAGTGAGGTTATAGTCAGTAGATGACATCCCCCGAAAATAAGACCTGATAGTTTTTTTGGTGGCCCCCAAAAATATAAGACGGGATCTTATGTTTGGGGAAACACGATCTATAGCATATCTCTTGTGTTATATATGTGTACCCTTTTGAGGGCAGGGCACAGAATTTCATTTTTAAGGTGTGCCAGTGTGTTCACAGGAAAAAAAAAATGACAATAATCTTATAAAAAGGGACCAGGCTCACCCAGGTCTCCAAAATGGGCAGCTTCCATGTGGCTGGGCTGCTTCTTAAGGGCGGCTGTGCGACTGCTGCAGGATTCCATGTTGGCCGAGATGGCATTGATCGCCACGTGGCTTGGTCCGGCGGCCTCGAGCAAGGCATGGTTCCTGGTGCCTTTCTGCGGAGAATATCCTGGTGCTGCCGTTGGAAAGGGAAACCACAAGGTGATGCTGCTTTCGCGAGCTAAAAACCTGGGTTTTTAAGAGGATGCCGGACCTCCTATCCGGGTTGTATAGACAGGTGGTCCTCAACTTAAAACCGCAATTGAGCCAAGCATTTCGGTGGCAGGGCGAGATAGTTAAGTGAACGTTACCCCGTTTTATGACCTTTCTTGCCGCCGTTAACTTTGTAAAACAGTCGTTCAGGGGATCTGGTTTCCCCCTTGACTTCGCTTGTAAGAAGGTCGCAAAAGCCGATCACCTGACCCAGGCACACTGCAACCGTCATAAATGTGAGTCGGCTGTCAAGCATCCGAACGTAAATCACGTGACCATGGGGGTGGGGCGCTGCAATGGTCATAAGTGGGGGGAAACGGTCCTAGGTCACCTTTTACACTGCCTTTGTAACTCCGTAACGGTCGCTGGATGAACAGTTGTTGGTTCTTGAGGTATGTTAGCAATTTGGACCAAACTTTCTGTCACTAAGTGGGATGGTCACAAAGCATGGAAATCCCCGACTTTCTAAATAAATCAGCAGGGGAGGTTTGCAAATGGACTGAATCTCTAAAGGAAGTCCCTATAAAAATCCAGACTCACATGCCATACATTAAAATTAATCGTGTTGAAGACTAGCCGGCTCTTCTCTTTTACTATTCTTCTTCTTATCCTTCCTAGTACCTATCTCTTCCCACTTATGAGTATAACCGTGTTGCTTGTATCTTTACCATGGGTAGTATTTTGTTTGTTCCCTAGTATGAGTTGATTGCTTATTTAGTATGAGTATCACTAAACGTACGTTATGATTCTTGATTAATATATATATTTTATGTACAATGAGAGCATCTGCACCAAAGACTAATTCTTTTGTGTGTCCAATCACGCTTGGCCGGTACAGAACTCTATTCCCTTCTTCTGAATCTAAGAATTATAAAAAGAAATGAGGTAATTTCATTTCCTTCCACTTCCTGCTGTTGTATTCATGCAACAAAGACAATGGGAGTGATTAAGTCAGTGTCGTTGTTTTTTTTCAACCGTGGCAACTTTCAGAGGTGTGGACTTCAACACCCAGAATTCCCCAGCCAGCCACATGAAGACTTTATAATAAGGCAGTTAAGAAGAAATTAGTTTTAATGGGCCGAAGGTAATTAGCACATGAAGGCTGGGCCAATATAGTTGGTTTGAGGAACAATGGGGTAGTTATTTAGTTCTTTTTTTTTTTTGTAACCCAGAAGAGGAAAAAGCTAGTTTCCTTCAGGTTGGCAAAAAAATATTAAAATATTTTGCCGTCCTACGACAAAATATTATTATTTTATTATTATTATTAAGGACTATATTTAGTCCTTTAGTGACTGTTTGAAGTTACGAGACTGAAAAAAGCGACTTATGACCATGTTTCACATTTGTTGTAGCCTCCCTGTAGTCACGGGATCAAAAGTCAGATGCTTGGCGGCAGAGGTTTGGAGAGGAGGGGGTAAAAAGTTTAGGCGGGCTAAGAAGGAAAGGGAAAAGGGGGAAAAAAGTTACAAAGGTATAAAACAAGATGGAGAAAAGAAAAAATTTTTTAGGGATAATGGGTAATGTATGGGGGTTTTTTTCTTAAAAAAAAGGGGATTCTGCAAAGTACACATGAGTATTGTAATAGTGTAGTGTATAGTATTATAAGTAGATAATCAGAACTTTTTAAGATCTAATAAAAGACTAAAATATCAAGGTATAACTTTAAAATGTTTAATAATGAATAATTTTAAGTTTTAATAAAATACTAAAGGGAATGTTTAAAATATTAGTTTAAATATAGAGTTTAATGGATTAATGTGTTGACTGTTGCGGATTTATTATTGTAGTATTGGTTTCTGAAATAGTAGAATGTACTAAGCAGAATCTGATTGGGATTTAGGTGTTATTTTAAATTTTAATTTAGGGGAATGATAGAAAGGCATCATACTCTGATTAGTGATTCCAGGGGAAACTATTCTTTTTTTATATTGGAAATGAGACAGATGTAAATGGAGAAATGGACAAAAGATATAAAAATATTTTTCTTTAAAGCAAGATTAAATATATAAAACAGAATTAAGACGAGGCAAAAGTGGAGAGGAGTTATATAATAGATATAGAATGGTAAACAAGAGGGGTAAGGGCATATAAGAAGAGCATGAATTCAATTGAAGTCCATACAAAAAGAGGTAATCTGGGGCCAAGTTACTTTCTAAAAGAAAGTTTTATGTTTTTATGTTTATGTCTTATGTGTGTGTGTTCAATTAAGAATTAAATAATAAAATCTAGGAGGAAGACTAGATGAGAACAATTATAAACAAGCCAGAGGAAAATATAAATGTGATGTTTGAACAGCAGATAAATTAGAAAGGAAATATGATTGAATAATGATTAAAGAGAAACAATGTGGATTTTGGTAAAGGGAATTTACGTGTTTATATGGAAATGGGATAAATTATAAGTATGTGATATAAAGCAATGTGTTACCTGCCTTGTAAAGATTTACAATGGAAAGAGGTTTTATGTTTCTAATGTTTAATGATGTTTTGTTTTGTTTGTTTGTAAAATCAATAAAACTTGTTTTTTTTTAAAAAAAAAAAGTCAGATGCTTGGCCACTGACTCCTATTTATGACGGTCACACTGTCCCCTTTTGCGACTTCTGACAAGCAAAGTCAATAAGGGAAGCCAGATTCACTTCACAAACTTAACTATAACGGTTCACTTAACGACTGTGGCGAGAAAGGTCGTAAAATGGGACAGAGCTCAAATTAACAAACATGTCATGCCCCTGGTGGAGACTGACTCTGAGGGAGAGGAGGAACAGCCGACAGGGAGTGGAAGTGGGGCTCCGGAGGTGGTGGAGGAGGCTGGGGAAGGGCTGAGGCCGGCTGGACAGTCAGAGGAGGATCTAGGCCCATCCCCTCTCTACCTTAGGGCACGCAGGGAGGAGAAAATAAGGGAGAAACGTAAATGGCTGGTCTACGGGGGAGGAAAGGGCCTTGATCCTCTTCATGGGCTGCTGCTGTGACAACTGCATAAGAGTTTGGACCTGCATACTGGCAAACACTGGAAACAAAGTGTGTGTTATTTGGGGCTGAAGTTATCTTGGTTGGCGTCCTTCCAACAGACTGTGCCTTGTTATCTCCTTGAAGTTGGTAAATACTTATCCTATTCCATTGTGGAAATTTCATCATTGTAGTTTGTTTGATTTTTTTATTTCACCTCTATCTGCTCATTAAGTTCGGACTGTATTGCTTTCTTTTGAAGACTATTTTTGAGTACGTTTTATCCCCATCTGAGTGTTATTGAACAGCGGGGCCAAGTTGGAGGCATTAAAAGACATTTATTTAACCTTTTGGATTTTGTTACGTTTGTGTTACACTCTGGGTCATCACAAAACATCTCACTTAGCAGCAGAAATTTGGGGCTCAATGGTGGTCATAAGTCAAGGACTACCTGTGTCTGAAAGGAAGAGGCTTGGAGTAGAGTTAGCCCTCGAGTTACAACCACCCATTACCACAGAACTGAGAAACTGACTTCTGACCAGTCCCCGCACTTATGACCACCGCAGCACCCTTATGCTCACGTGTTCAAAACTTGGGTGCTTGGCAACCGACTTGTATTTAAGAAGGTTGCAGTGTCCCGGGCGATCATAGCTTGTTTCTGACAACCCCAGTCAACGCGGGGAGCCGATTTGGGGGATTCACTTAAGAACAGCAGCGATTGGCAAAAAGCAGGCCGTAAAATTGGATGTGACTCGCTTAACAACCACGCTATTTAGTGATGGAAATTCTGTTCCCGATTATGATTGTAAATCATGGGCTGCCTATAATGGAGATTTGGGAAGGTCATTTAAGTGGAATCTCCTAACCGTAAAAGGTTATGAACGTTTGCAGAAACTGAGGGCGGTTCAGACTGAATCCCTAATTCCTGGGAAATTCGGGTTTTCTGGAATTATGGGACCTCTTACCAAAATTGCCGGGCATGGGAGCCAGTCCAGACTCTGCAAATATGAAAAGAAAGCAGTTAATTTTTGCTGAGGGTGTGAAATGTGACAGAAATGTGATACAGTGCCCATCCCGCATAACTTTAGAAGCCCTTGTAGAATTTAGTCAGCATATTCAAGGTCAAACCCAGGTAATATTAGATAATTTATGAGACCCTCTGCGCAAATCTGAAGGTCAGGGTTAAAAAAAAAAAAGAGAGAGAGATAATGGCTTGAAAAATTAATGGAGGCAGAAAGAAAGCAAGTGTTGACTGTGTCCTTGTGCAGTAAGGGCATTATAATATTGATCAGGAGTGGAGGGAAGTGGCCCTTTTATGACTTGTGGACTTCAACTCCCAGAATTCCTCAGCCAGCATGGGGAACAATATGTCTCCTGGTGATTGGTCCAGAGTCACCTAGTTGGCTTTC